GTTTTACGATTATCAAGTTTAAATCCATCTGTGTACCAAACCTCTCCATTTGGTTTGGTCTATTAGTTCCCTGTTTTCCAGAGAGTTCGATCTTCAATGTGTACCTCAAATTTTCTAGAGATTTATAGTTTTGGAATTATTTCGTCAAGCACTTGCAATATGGGGTAATTAGCGAATTTCATTAGGACCCGCCTGTAACCCGTCATATTTTCGATTTTTAAATCAGAAGTGTTTAGGATTCTTAGCGCCGCGCTGGTCGCCTCTATTTCTATTATAGGAAGGGCGGTATTCCAACCAAGGCGCTGAGTGCATCCGCCAATGCAAATCATTGCATCACTTATCAAAAACTTTGTCACCTTTTTTTATGGCTTAAACCTCCGTCTACAAAATTCTACAATACTCCAGGATCTTATAAGACTTGCTGAGTTCCCGCGACAGTTGGGTCTACGTAACCGGAACGACCCAGATTTACATAAGTATATCTGGCCAAGGACTGTCACTCCAGCAACACAATAATAACAACAAATTTCTGAGTTAAAATTTCAAGCGGTAAACCAATAAATCACGAAAAGAGATGTTATTTACCTTACACGAAGCTACATACACCAATGTTTTCCAAAAGTACTAATAATACCTTGAGGGAAATCTTTAAACATTGAATACCGAAACTACCAAGAAACAAAAGCTCCAGCAATGGAATATGTGCTAATTATATTACAGATTTTTACTTTTTTTTATAAATAATCTATGTTTTCTTTCGTGTCATCTCACTTGCTGTTTTTCATAGTGTTTTGCCGACGGTAAAATATAAGAAGTCTAGATCAGCTTTATCAAATTGGGATCAGACTACATAACGTTATCATAATATAGTAAGGCTTTAGGTAACTCATTTTCTTCCAAAGCTTTGTAAAACTATGTACTATATAAAGTATTCATTTATAAAAGGTTACGTAATAGATACATAGTAGCTAAGTATTTGATTACAAACCTTATTTTCTGTATAAGAATTAAATCCAAAAGAGTTATTTGTTGATAAAACTTAAAGTTCCAAGATAATATGAGTCCAGCTGTGTAATTGCACTTTAGTTATGATTAATCTTTTCGGGTTAGCGAACAGTCCTTTGAAAGTGTTTTCACTACTGTCTGCGCTCTTCAAATTTTGAAAATTTAAGTTATTCACCCACTCCACACTCCTTTCCTTAGTGTTATTTTTATTCGCAAAAATTTATTTTTTTATATCCATTGATGCCTGCATATGTATGTATAAGTACTATATGGTACATATGAACGTATGTATTTTAAGAAACAATTAATTGCGACAGAGGAAATATACCGTAATTTCGAATTGACACGATCAGCGAAGCAGCGGCAGATGCCAAAAGTGTCCGACGATGAAACAACAATAAGAAAAAAACAACAAAAATAATGAGGTATGCTAACGTCACTCGAAATCGCTTAGGTGCGCGTTAGACACAAGCAAAACAGTATAAAATTGAAATAAAACAATTTGCAGTAAATATTTTGTAAATCGCAGAAGTTATTTAAGATCCGAAAACTTAAAAGTTGGTTAAAGTTTCACCACAATTTTCCATGCCTTGTTTTTGGCCAGACTGAGCGGTGTCGCCAAACGGTAGCGTATCCGTTTTTATGCTATTTAATACTTTTTATTTGAATTTTTTGTTTGTTTATTTTTGATCTAACACTAAACTACACTTCGAAATTATCATTCGTCAGGGTTTTTTTACTCCTTTTTATTTTGCACCGACGGTGTATTTCGGTTCTCGCACGCGCGTTTCTGTATATCCTCCGAACGAATGCGCTCAGTCGAAACGCCACCGTAAATAAAACGTTCAACGCCCGAATGAACCACACGCCAAGACGGAGTACGAAAAACTGAATTCGTTAAATGTATCTGCTGGTTTTCTGTGTATCCCATAACTGGTGCGAGTATCTTCCGCCAGCTCTATGCTGCTCCGTAGCAAACGTGTGGTGCTCAGCGCTCCCATGTAATTATTATTATGGTTGTTGGTATTATTGTGGCTTGCCCCGGTTGCCGTTGACGTATGCGACACCACCACCACCACCACCACCATCGCTCACATGGTGAATGTGGTTGTTTGAAGATGATGATGGCCGTGGTGGCGGTAAAGATTTTGCTTACGTTGCTTGTTGTAATTTTGGTTTGTTGTTTTTAATTTTATTTCATTTTGTTTTTTACATCAATGTATGGTGGTGGTGCATTTTGGCTTGAGGCTGCTTGTTTTTACTACTTTGTAACTGAATCGGAATTCGATACGATCGCAATTGTGAAGCACTCACCACACACACACACACACAATCTCAATGTTGCTCGACCCCTACAGCTAATAAACAACAAATATTTTATATCGCCATCTCTCTTTGGCGACCAGCAGTTGCTGATCGGCGGTTGCGCGTGCGATAGTGGCGTTACGTGTGTGCAAAAGAGAAGGAAGAGTGAGCAGCACTCCCACTTTTTTTTCGTTATTTATTTACTTTTGAATGGTGAGTAGAAGTACTGGCTCTCAAATTGTCGCAAGAAAAATGAGAACGTATGAGTGCCTCTCTTAGATGTTTTGGCTTGTAAGAGCAAATTTACACTGCTGAGTAAAAGAATTTAGTTAAAATTTTTTTCCCTTCAGTCAGTTTTCATATTAAATTGAATTAAAAATAATTTTTCCATTATGCTGTCTTCATTTATTCCAAAAAATGTTGGCCTTCATGGTGCAAAAAATATTTGATGTAACACTCAACCCTGTAAACGTGCATTTTTGTTTACCTATTTAACCTTGTCAAAGTCACGGATTTCATAATATTGTCGTTTTAAGCTGCCAGGGGATTTTCAGGGCAACCATCTTCCTTGGCTAAGTTTCAAAGAGCAAAGTTGATGTCCGAGCTTAGCGCAGACCACTGTATCAACTCAATTTGTTGAGAATTAAAGAACGCCTTAGTCTTCCTCGCCACGTGGATGTGTGCATTATCTTGCTGGAAGACCCACTCCCCGCCATGTAAATCGCCAGCAAAATTTATGAGTTCGCTTTTTAGAAAATCTATGTAGATTCCTGCGTTCATTTTGCTTGACAATAAGCATATTTTGTACTTGAACGAAAACGCCGCCCTAACCCTTAGATAGTGATCTTCCACCATAAAAGCGCTTATGACATGCTGCTTTGTACTTTTTTCGTCACTGAATACCATAGCTTTGAACTCCTAATCACAAAGTTTATGAATTTATGAATGCATAGTTTAGGCATTCAGTGCGCCTGTTTAAGGCCTAAACCTTTTCTTATTATTTCATGCCGGATTGATTCATTTTCTTGATCAATGCACACATTGTATAACTCCATTAAGTAATTGAAAGAGAATATGCATACCGACAACTACAACTGTACCGTTAGCAGAAGAAAACCACTTCTGCACATACATACGTATGTATAATTATTTGACTGAGGTATTTACATTGTACATACATTATTTTTTAGAAACCATTTGGATTATCTCATACTTATTGCTTAAATAAGATTTTGCTTTATACAAAATAATGCGTCTCTTATTTAAATTAATTAAAATATACAATACTATTTCTGTGGTAGTCAGTGTAAATCCACTCTTTCACTTTTCTAACTTCTTCGCCAAAGAGACCAACTCTTCATTGAGTTTCCTGTCTGCACCACCTATGCATTAGAGACAGTTTGAGTGCAATTGTACTCTTCGAATACCGGTTGTATCACAATAGCAGTTGATTGAAGCAATTTTGTTTTTAACTTCACAACACAAACAACTGCATGTGGATTGTACGAATATAACAAAGCATGTTGACACTACAACAAAGCGCTTCATTAAAACAAGCAAGCCAACCTGTTCAAAAGTAGGCGTAGCTAACCAGTTTCCCCTTGGAAAGTGTACATCTATGAATGACCAACAACAAATCAAACAAGTCACTGATTGGTCAGTTTCTAAACGTTTCGCTACGCTTGTCATTAATGTATGTATGTATTAGTACAAATGGACCTGCGCAATGGACGCCATCTTCAAATTATGAAGCTGAAGCGACTTGGCTGTGGATGCAAGGCAAGGATGCGATGAGAGATATAAAAAAAAAAAACGAATTCGATTGCGGGGAGATGAAAGTATTTGTGAAAATTAATTTGCAGTTTTGAATTTTTTTCCGCAGGGTTTGCTGTTAAAAAGAAATGCAGTATTTTATAAATTCATCTATGTAAAAATAATTATTGCAGTATTAAATTGAATACAGCCTTTAAAAAAAAAAAAACAGCGTTTGTAAGAAATTCGCAAATAAAGAACCTTACTTTTTATTAAATTTAAAAATTACCTTGCGAAGTATATACATTAGGGGGACCCAAAAAAGTAAAGTCGGAATTTTAATGCTCCCACCCCGTAGAACTGTTCTATATCGAAAAAATATACCCCTATTTTTATGTTGAAATCAAAAAATATTTATAGCGCTCAAGGTTTCCCATGTATTTTAAATGGAAAAAAGAACTTTTTGTAGAAATGGTATAGAATTCTTAAAAATCAATATTTTTCTCTTCAGGAGACTTCCAATAACAATACCCAATTGTTAATTTAAACTTTTTTTTTAATACTAAAGATTTTTTATATATCCCCCCATTGCATTTTCTGGGGGTCTTGGCGGACCTATAAAATTTAGTTACTATGAAAAAGTAAATAATTGGGTATTATTATTGGGAATCTCCTGAAGGGAAACAGAGTTTCGAAAAATATTGATTTTCAAGAATCCTATGCCATTTCTACAGTGTTTTTTTCCTATATAAAATACATGAAAACCTTTGACCGACCTCTAAATATTTTTCGATTTCAAAATAAGAAATAGGGGTATATTTTTTTCGACATAAAGCAATTCTAGGGGGTGAGAGCATTAAAATTCCGACTTTACTTTTTCACAAGCATTTTTTGGATCGTGTAAACACTCCGAAACCTATGTATTTGATACACATTAACATACATATGTACATACATACATATATCGCTTAGATTGAAAATTTGTTAAATGAAATTTTTCGAATTTTACAGTAGGGAATAAAAACTTCTCAAACTAATTTTTATCACATATTTTTCAAAAATCTGTGGTAACAACATTTTCGCGCATTCAAAGCAAAACATAATGCAATTTTTTAATACTTTTTAATTTATCGGCTTTTCTAGAATTTCTTTGGCCTCAACAAATTTTCGTTTCAGTGCATAAAAACGATGCATTTTAAATTTGCCTCGCTTGCTATATCAAAATGTAAGTTTTCATAAAAAGTGAACTTAGCAACTTTTCATTCTAAGCTAGCGATATATGTATGTAAGTACATATGTATTTACATAACCTTTGTGTCTGTTCAACTTGCTTCGTACTTTCCATTCTAAAATTCGTGTACAGATTTGGATAAAGCGGATTTGTAAATTTAAAGCGTTATCCTTGTCGTTTTGTTTTGTATTTGGGTACGCTGCTTGATAATTTGATCCGTTTTTCGTATTCCTGTTTAGTCCGCCTCTTATTTATATTGCTGGAATATTTGCGTCTTGTTGTTAAAAAAAAACTTATTTAAGGGAATCACTTTTTTTACTACAAAAGTTCTCTTTCATCTTTTGCATTGTTCGGACTTTACTTCGGTCGAAATAAAATTACTCAATTTATTTATTTCTTTTTTTAAATTTACTCTACCTCGCTTTACTTCAAGCCTACTTTGTTTTTTTCACCCACATTCTAGCCGTCTTAAAGCACATCCCGATAGCCTAGTTATCAGAATATTGTACTACAACTCATTAGTACCCATTCCGAGCGATTCTTAAAAATAATTTTAATTTTTATATTTTTAATATAAATATTTAGCTTTGTCTTATATGATTTTATTATTATATTTTTTTACATAATTATTTCACGTTAATCTAAATTTTGGACTTTAATTTTAATTAAAAGCTCCAAAACAACTATATTTATCTACATTTAAAAAAGGTAAAAGTTATAATTGAAGAAACCAAAAAAAATATAAATGCTGGCTCGCACTGTTGCTTGTTATTTGAAATTGTTGCTGCATCTGTTTTTTTTGGTTACATTTTGTGCTGAATAGCTGGTTGTTGTTTTGGTAGATACAAACACAGAATTGCCTATCTCATACTTAAAGCATAAACAGACGGCGGCGTTGATCCGGATCACCTCGGGAATTAACTGCAGTTAATCCGGATTCAGTCCGTGTTAATCCAGATCAACGCTTCCGTGTGTTTAAGCTTTTAAGTAATCAATATTGGCCATTTAAGTGCAATTTAGATATATAACCTGAAAATGAATTTTTGAAATTAATCAACAATCTCTACTTAAATAGCTCATATGAATCTGGGCCTTAATCTGCAATACCTCCGCCTGCCATTTTACAATTTTGATGAGGTCATTGTGCCATTAATCGGGATCTAAGTTGCCGTCTTTCGATGCCTTGAGGTCTGTTTTCGGGCAGTTAACCCACGGGTTTCATCAAGGACATTTAAACTTAAGTAAAATCTTACTGTTAAAAACTAAATTAATAAAGTCGGTGCAGTAATTTCGTAAATTTTGTATATAATGATATACTTTGAACAGTATATCCCAACATAAGTTCTTAAAAAAAAATGTGTTAAGAGATTTAAATTAGAAAAGATTCAGGACCCACTACTCATTTAAAAAAAGGGTCTGATAATTATATTCGAAATTATATAAAATACTCATAACTGCCTGAATATTATACTCTGATTTGCGTTTTTATATTTGCATGAATCGAAAATATATACTTAAGTGATTTTTTATTTCACACAACTAAATCCAAGCTTCAAAGGAGGTTGTTATACCCATAGTGACATTTTCTAATTTTTAGTTCATGCAAAATTTTCAAATTTTTGATTTCAACGACAGCGAAGTTAAAATATGCATAACTCACTAAGAAATTCGTCTTTTTACGCAGATTTTTTGAGTATGTAACTAATCTGATTCGAGTTTCAGTAGTCCGATTACTGACCAGACATAAAACAAGCTATTTTGCTTGTGACTCAGTTTAAAGAATAATT